CAAATTCATCAAATTAAGATCGCGCGCACACTTTTAAATAAACTGTCGCACAACTGTTTAGTCTCGTTTATATTCCTACAAGCTTATATGGAAGTGCGCACACTACTCGGTTTTTAGTTGTCCTACTAATTAGTGTAATTGGTTGTAAAATAATCGACAATCGCACAAAAATTGTGCGATACTTTAGTCAAAGGTGTGCGCCCGCTCCAATACATAGAATGTTGGGTATTAAAAAAAACAACACGCTTATAAAAATCACAGTCGTTTATTATTAATTAATAAATACTGGTAATTAGGATAGACATAGAGATTTACCAAAAAATCTTTAGCGTAAAGTATTCAAGAATCTAATTAATATCTAGAATGTAATAATGAATTGAGTAAAATACCACTTGTCAAAATGACCACGATCTGTCAAATCTTCATGACGTCACATTTCATACCGGTGACATTTAGAGGTTATTTTGACAGATGTCATTTTGCCACTGGTATAAGTAGAGACGTTCACGACGTGAGCTCATAAATACAAATAAAATAATATCATTTAATTACGATTTAAGTAACTTAAAGTTAAGTCATGGGCCCGATCTTCTATAAAATCTTACGAACTAACCTATCAGTTTACGTATAAACAATCTATTGCGCCTATCAAGCTAGGTATTTCGAAAACTAAAGAACTACATTGAACTAATCACCGCTCATACCATCCGTGTACCAACATTCGATTGTTACCAGAATAAGGACATCCTGGCATTACCACAAATAAATAGGGTAACATTAACAGGAATGTGAAGTGTTTTGCTAAAACAATTTCTTTAATACTGTTTAGTAAACTTGGTACAGGAAAACAGTAAACAAAATAAACACAATAATACCCCATTTATTAACTCAATTGATTTGTTTTAATCAATTTTGGATTACCCCTTTTTTAAGATTAAGCGTAATCATTTCACAGCCATATGTCTAAATGGCTAACCCCAAGTCATACATTCTCTCCCATACATACAATACACCATACAAATGTTTTGTTCCAACACTCTTGTCAATTGAGGGTACTCTAAAAACATAAATTAAAATATATGATATGTAAACTTGTCTAAATACCATTCCAATAGCAACATAATGTGGATCACACTCAAACAACATTTATCACCGACAGATGGCAGTTTTTATTTCATATACGAAAAATTGTTTTAGCAACAAACTTCGATGTACCCGCATATTTGAAAAAAATATCACATATAACCATAAAAAAATAACATTACGACTTACTTCAATTGCCAATATTTTGTTTTAGAGTCCTAAAGACGTTAAAGTATATTATTTTTTTTCTCCAACACCTTATTATCTTTGGTTTTGATAGAAATCACTATTAAAAAAAAACTGTCTCGCATTTATATAGTTGCATCATTTCAGGGAAAGCTTTCATATAGCAGCCTCGCGTACAAGCTTCAGTTACGACACATCGTTACTGCAGTAACATCACACAATATCACACGGGGAGTACGCACTGCGCAGTCCACACTCCATACAGCAACTGCGCACCGTACCACATACCTCATACCAACTGCGCACCGTAACACACATACACCACGTAGCAATTGCGCACAGTACCACATATGACATCATATACCAACTGCGCACCATACCACCTTACACCATGGAGCAACTGCGCACAGTACTACACATTTCATCTCATACGAAGTGCGCATAGAACTACACTATATCTCATAGCAAGTGCGCACAGTAGT